CTATAGCCACAGCGTCAAATCTTCTTCTTACTACTTATTGTGTGATGTTCACAGTCAAAGATGAAGTCATACAAGTGTAAGCGTGCCTTCAATGAAGATAGACTATGTTCAGTTTCAGGTTGTAATATTTATTAACTGAACTTCAGCTTTCTGGTTGTATTTGTGTCTAGATCTTTCTTGCAGTATATCTATTTTATATCTCAATCTCTAATCTAAATCTGATTTAGTCTAGTGTAGTCTAAATCTCATCAAATCTGAAATCTTGTTTGAATATATCAGACTGAAGGAAACTGGTCTTACATGTGTAAACAACAATATCAGATTGTCCAGAGCATATCTGCCACCAATGTCACTGAAGATCACTTTAGTTTGAGTTAAGGTGCTGTCATGCTCTTGACGTATTAACCAAAATGCTAGAAGAAAGGCCACTGTCTGTTTTGGCACAACTTATGTGAGGTTATAGCTATATTTCATGCTACAAAGTTTGCATTGTATTTTCGTGGAGTGATCCAGTTTCATGTGTAACTAGGTGAGAATAATTTTGTTATTCCCTTGACCAAATTTTTATATTAGGAGCTAAACATACCCGATATACACGAAAATTTTGAAAAACATTATATGATAATTAAGAGGTAGAAAATGTATGGTGTGCTTGCATACTACAATATTTTAGTTTATACATTCGCTAGAGGGGGTTTTATTGTCACACGATGAGCTTAAAGCTCAATGTCTGAGAGCAACAATTTGAATAATATAAAACTCCAGCTAAACTAAAGCAGTTGTTGGTTAATTTAGTTTAGCACTGTAAATTTCGAGCTTCTGTTTCAATGAAGTAGTGAAGTACAAGAAACATTGGATAAGTTAGTAAGTAGGTGATTAGCATTATTTATTTGTGAAGTTAGACCTATTGCTTGGTTATAGTTAGTTATTTTAAAGCTCATCAAATTTTTAGAAATTTTATTTGAAGAAATAAAACGCTTTTCTTTCGTTAAGTGGACTGAACCTTCCATTATTTTTACCGAATTATAAAAAAATTCTGCCCAACGATAGAATTATAGAAGCGTAAGATATGTTTTATTTGTAAACCCCACGATATCTAATAGAGAAACAATTAGTTTAAAAAATGTGATATCTATTTAACCTTCGTGAAAAGGAGACTGCGACTTAGAAAATAATGACATATTTTGATTTTTTTATTGTGAAATCAATTAGTGCAGCAAAAAAATACTTAATTACTGAATAAAAATCGCAAACGTTCGTGAAAAAGAATCTTGTGTAACGGAAATTATATTTTAAAACTTTTAAATGAATCAGATTTTTGTTAGTTGTGAAAAAGTAAAGCTTCAAGTATCTAAATTGTTACAATAAGGTTATAGTTGTCATATTTTAATCGCTGAAATTATTAGGTAGTCCTATACGATCACCTAAGACTAATTATTAATTAGTTACTAATTAACAGTGCTGATATATCTGCAAAAGCCCACGATGTCAGAAATGACTATATAATAATATGAGAGAATAATAAAATATAGGTATGTGAACAACACACTAGTAAAAGAAGCTAGATTTGACATTCACCTAACTAATAACAAATTCAGTCTACCTACTAAAAATTCAGCAAAACCTGGATAACCCCTGTTGAAAACATTAAAGTGATAGAAGAGCAGTCGAAACGTGGGATAAAACTGTAGTTAGTAAGAAGTGTGTAGGTATAATAATAAAAACTGTAACTACTAATTAATAACTAGATGAGGTCATCGTATATATGCTATTTAATCATGAAAACAAATGGAACTTCAACTGAACTAATCAATCTATAGAGTATTTTGCACTCTATGCTGAAACACGTAGTTTTGTCACATAGTTTTAAAATCGGTACTTTAAGATCTTCGTTTACTTTTGTTAAATTTTCTATGAGGAATAGATATTGTAAAACATTCTTTTTTTTCGCTAATATTTGTATAAAAACTCGGTATTTTAAGGCCTTTATTTTGATTAACTTTTCTATAAAACTCAATACTTCGAGATCCATATTTATTTTTGTTAACTTTTATATAAGGACTCAGTACTTTAAGATTTTTATTTATCTTTATTAAATTTCCTATTAGATAGCTTAAGCCTTAAGACATTCTTTTTTTTCTCGTTAATATTTCTATAAAAGCTCATTACTTTAAGGCCTTTATCTGGTTTGATTAACTTTTCTATAATACCTCAATACTGTAAAACCTTTTCTATAACTTTTCTACAAGAACTCCATACTTCAAGAGCTTAATGTAATTTTGTTAACTTTTCTATAAGGACTCAATACTTTAAGACCTTTACTTATTTTATTAAATTTTCTATAAGGAATAGACAATTAAAGACATTTTTTTCGATAATATTTCTATAAAAACTCAGTACTTCAAGATCTATATTTATTTTTTTAACTTTTATATAAGGACTCAATACTCCAAGACCTTTTTTGTCTTTGTTAATTTCTCTATAAGGACTCAGTACTTGAAGACCTGTATTTATTTGTTAACTTTTATATAAGGACTCAATACTCCAAGACCTTTATTTACTTTTATGAAATTTCTGTAAGGGCGAGCGACATTCTACTGAGATGTTCTATTGTCGTCCATTATGAGTGGCTCCGAACGATTTATAAATGTATTCCTGTTCAGGACACATTTCAAAATAAACTTTATAAAACAAAAGCTACCTCAAAACGAGCGGTGAAAATGTCATAATAAGCGGCAAAGAGCTCAAATGGTTGTCTGTAACAGGTCTGTCATGCTACCAGTTGCTCATTTTCTTTCTTTCCTAATTTTCCGGAAGTAGCGGTTTGCATCTTCATTCTTTATTCCGATAATTGAAGATTGTTGGGAACTAACAACTTTTGATCGCGCACAGTTAAGATACAACACAAATGCATGTCAGTTTTAATATTAAATGTTACAAGTGACTTTGGAAGTAAATATAAAAACCAAGTAGGTTGTTATCAATCTACTAATAATTCATTGTTTGAAAATATGCAACAGATAAATAAAAACAAATTTTATTTACCGCTGAAGAATGATAGTTCTTCTCAATCCTGTGTACTTTTTTGTTACTAAACTGGGTTATTGAGATGCGTTGAGGCTATGAACATTCATTTTGGATACTTTGTGTTTTTATTAATCCCGCCCAACGGCGGTGGTATTGTTTTCATTCCCGTGTGTCAGTGTGTGTGTGTGCATGTGTAAACGATAAAACTCGAAAAGTTTTAGTTCGATCAAATCTGGTAAGGTCCTCCCTGGACCAATATATTAAACTTGGGTGAATGTAGCTCAAAGGTTAGCAACACACTCATGGTCAACTCCTTTCGTTATAATGGTAGTAACCTGGGATTTTGTAAAACAGTTGAAATTAGAGAACAAGTTGAGATAGAAAGTGGATCTTGGCACGTAGACCTACATTTTTTGAGGGTTAAGGATTGTTTTGTGTTTAATTTAGGTTGGTTACTGGGCGGGGTTGCACAATATGAGTTCCTTTCTAGTTTCACTTTGTGTTTATTGTATAAATATAGGAAATAACCTTACCAATAATCAGAATCTATTTAGTGAGTAATAACAGTAGTATTTTTAATACGTCCCTCAGGAGCCAATTTGTTGAATATTAAAAGTAAGTTCAATCCTGAAACTCCCAAAGAAGGTAATTTTGGACGTATCTTTTCGAAACAGCTTCGAGAAAAGTTTTCGGTAGGGAAGGCCAAAGCATCACGATAGTCAGCAGTTGGATGAGCAGACAGGAACACTTTGAAAGCAGCTATAGGCATAATATTGTACTCGGCTTGCTCCACAATATCTACCAAGGTGGTTCTAAATGGTTCCTGAATATCTCTGTGTATCATTTGGAGACTTCCATGCTCCTTGTGCTTGGCCGTTAAACTCGTGACGCGCTAACGGTTTTCAGTCATCTCACCACTTCAACTCACTTTTCGCAGCCTCAACGCTAAAAAAGTGCGGGAAATGCCTTCTTTTTAGTCAATAAAAATGTCCAAAAAATTTCAGTTCAAATTAAGAAAAGCCAGATTGAGTAGTTTTTTTGTTGTTGTTTCTAAACAAAAATATCCTCCAACTGGCTCGTGAGGGGCCTGTTACTTTTGAGCATTAAAACATGATACTTAAGATGTAAGTCATTTGATTCAAGGATTACATTCCAATAATTTTTCTTTAATTTCTAAGTAACTTTAGATATGTTTCAATATTAAGTTTAATCCAGAAAATCAGTAACATATCGGCCAGGTAAGTCATAATGATTGACTAGATGAAGAGCCATGAGTAATATCAACAGTCACCACAAATATCCGTTTTTATTACCTAGAATCTATACCATTTCACTTAAATTTCTTATTTGGCTTGTTCTCTACCCCATTCCTTTTAAAACCAATGCTATTAGATTTACCGCAAACATTGGTGAGCAAGTTTTCCCGAGAATTATGTGTGAATAATTTATGTTTTTATATATATTTTACTTGATTGGAAAGCCCCATGTCTTTTTAGTTGTATTAGGGTTTTTTTATAGCAGTATATTTATTTCGCTTTTATACTTAATTTATGATAAGGCATCTTTCATAACAGCTTGAAACCTTCGTGAATTTTATTTAAGCAAGTTTCTTCACTTTTATTAGATCTCACGTGAAATCGAACAAAATTACTGAACAAAACCTTTATAAGTTTTAATTACTTCACAAGGCCAGAATCTTTACTTGAGTTCATTTTTGTAAGGAATAAAATATTAAATATAAAAGTAGTTCTATGTTATAACTGTATTTTTTGTATCAAGGTTAAAGTTTCAGTTGAAAAATTTTTGATTAAATATATTGAATTGCAAACTAGCTCCATTTTAAGTCTTGCTTAAAAAATGAAAGCACCACCAGTAATGAATGACACATGTACGTTGTAAGTGAAATAAAAACTTCTAAATTCGAGTCTTGTGTTTGAAATCATAATCAAGCTTTGTCATGGAGATTTATTTTTCAGCATTACTTATTTTATCAGCTAAAAGTATTGAAGCGTTACGCAGATAGTCATACAATATTACAAGTTTGAGCAACATTATGTCGATATAGTACAATTTTATCAGAATACAAAAAATCGTTCCGCGTTACTTTACAGTTAGTATTACATAAATGTATCGATCGGAATATGAACTTAAGAGAAGCATTAATCGAACAGAGTAAAACATTTTGCTAAATAGCAGATAAACACAGATATTAGGATAGAAACTGTCAGTACTTTCTTTTTTAAATAACAAACACACCGATAAAACTAAAGATCCATTTTAATCATGTCTATACTCATGCAAACATACAAGACAATAATTTACGCTTAAGCTGGTGAAATACGCTCAATGAAAGTTTTCAATAGCTATAGATAGGCCTACAAACCTAGATACATATAAACTTTGATAAATAAAAATAAGAAATAATATAGAATAATCAATTACTGATGTCCCATACAGAGTCTTAATATAACAACAAATTCATTATAAAGACAAGACTGAGTCGGTTTAAAAGCTTTTATAAGCTGACTTATATGTATTTCAAAGCACCTATTTTTCATTTTTAGATACCTCCAGTGTTCGAACTTTCTCAACAAACTTGCCTATATCGTCTGCTAGGAGTTTAGGCTCTTCAAATGCTGGAAAGTGGCCCCCTCTCGGCATGTCCGTGTACTGAATAATGTTTCTATACTGATGTTTGGCTATGTTTCTTGGTGGCATAATAATTTCGTTAGGGAACTGAGCAATCCCTGTTGGCACAGTCACTGGAAGTCTAACAAAAGATAAAAAACACACAATTATTAAAAAGCTAACATTATAATTGCAGTTTTAAAATATAGCAACTTATAGTAAGTTGAACCACTACATTAATTTATTTTTTGAACGATATATTTCGCAAAACTATTTTTGGAGAGCAAAGAGTGAATAATAAATGTCAGTAAGATTGAGGAAAAAATAAGTTTGTGTAAATTACCAATTCAACAAATAACTTCAATCTACTACCATCCCCTAAATTTAACGTTAGCTATTAACCATCAAACATAAAACAAAAAGGATTTCTTGTTTACTAGTGACTCGATGTCTATTTTTTTACTGTTGCCTTCAATAAGTTCCAATTCATTGAGTTAAAAAAATTATTTTGGTATTCTTCCCTCATTCTCTGATTTTTTAAAACAAATTTTATACATTTAAATAAGTCAAATACATCCACTGACTAAGGAGTAAATTTCGAACTTTTTTTTCTCAGTATAATTTTTAGTAAAACTACATAGTATATACAATAGTGACAAATGGTAATACAATTTTCTCAAAGCCATTGAAACAAAAATGCAGTATTTGTATATTCTTTATAAACCTAAGATTGTTTTCAGCAAAACTTACCTGTCAAACTTAAAGTTTCTGATACGTTCTGACATGGTTTCCTTGTAAAGCCTCATGCTAGAAGTGATGGAGTTTGTTACCCAGTACACCATAACGTTGGTCAGCAGTTCATCAAGGGTGAACTTCTTGGTCAACCCTCCATCAGCTAAGTTCACGTATTCCTTATTAGTCCATGTGGAGAACTTCTCTAAGATGTAAGCTGCCAGACCAGCGGGGGAATCACTTACTCCAGTACCTAGAAAAATGTTGTCTTCACTAGCACCTCTGTAGATCATTAACACATACAACTTATAGTTTCTAAAACAAGTCAATTATTTTTTTCAGTTGGTTTGTGTAACATGAGTCAAATCAGTATTTAAAATATTTGTTTCTATAACATGTATAGTTTTTGCCTTGGATAAGATCTTACTGGGCTGAGCGTGGCCAAATAGATCTGATGTTCCGTTGTTCGCACTCCATTATCACCTTAAAAACTCAAGCTCAACACTTTGGGGTCGTAGATGCGTTAGAACATTAATCACTTTGCATCATCAGTGTTACTTAAGTAGTAATGATTCTTAGGTGAATTAGGAGCCAAATTGAATCTAAGTTCATCTTTACCATACGTTATAAAATTATGCAATATGAGTAACGTAAAATTCCTTTATTTTGCTGTGTTTATGAGATATCACCTAGTGTTTGACCAAAAGCAGTATATTAGCTATTTTTTTAACTCAAGCGTTTTTGGGTGGATTTCGCATATTTAAATCAACCCAAGACACTTACATTGTAATAATTATTGTTTAATATAGTGACACCAGATGGCACTATCGTTCTGAGTTGAGATATGGAAATGAACATTGGGAACGAGAGTGAACGAATGAAAGGAAGAAAAGTATTATTTGTTCCTATTAATCGATATTCTTTCTCATTCAGAGCTGATTTGGCATGGTTTGGTTTTACGCTTAAAAAGAAGAATCTAACTCAGATTGATCTTATTGTGTCATGTGCTAAGATTAGTGTATATTGTAAAGTTAAGAGAAATAAAGTAAGGTTCTATAATCAAAACTCAAATGTAAGCAAAGCTTGTGAGTTGCATTTTGCAGACCTGTTTTAGAGATGCATAATATTCAAGTTGCCATTTTTGATGCTGGTGATGATTAATGATCATGCATATTTATGTATAATAGCGAACTATAATAAACAAAAATGTTTACAAGTAGTTTTGTTTCTTATTACCATTTTTTTATCCAGTGGCTCAGCAGTAAGTCTGCAGGCTTGTGACACTAAAAGTCGGGTTTCGATACCCGTGGTGAACAGATCACATAGCTTATTGTGTAGCTCTGCGCTTAAAAACATCCAAACCTCTTTTTTGCTTTACCTGTCAAATTACTGTTTCATTTAATAAAGCCTCAGTTTTGTCCATGTATCAATACAAACACTTAAACGGGCTACAGAGTTATACAGTGGCCACTTGAAAGTGTCCCTTGTATACATTTCACCTACAGAATACTTTTAAATCTATATGAAATGATACTTTGAGTTCGGTAAGTGAGTTTACTACTTTTATTAAACATTTTGGGGTGAAAATTCACTTAATATCTAAAGTTGGCCCAAGAAACAATTTACAAAATATCAACAATATGATTGCATTTACGCAAAACTACTTCTTTGTTAAAATGTGAAATCTCTTGAACAATTCCACAAATATTTCATTTGCAGGAATTAAATTTGTTTGGGATGCCTTCATTTGTCTATGACAATAGAACAAAAGCATATTCGATAATACATTATCTTCTTTACTAGAGCTAACTCAAACTATATCGATAGTATCACAGTCTATGGTGGTATCTTCTGTACTTGGACCTTTGATTCGCTCCTTCACTCAAGGCTAAACTCTTGAAGGTTTTGCTTGTAGCTTGATATCAATATCATTCAAAGGGTAACACAGTCCTGCGATGGTTTTATTGTCTTGATATTTTTACATGTTTTGCAGTAATTCCTGTACGCTGAATCCGAAAATGATATCCACTTTTCTCCATCACGTGCAGATTTTCCACAAAACGTCATAACGCAATACATAAAAGAAAGACCACAACACGTAGTTTTGATACTAAAAGACGTAGATTTCACACACAAAAAAATCAGGATGAATGAGAATGTATATTCGTTTGACATCAATGTTCTTCCCTTTTTTTCAGTTTGTTAATATTTTTGTGAACAAACATAATAATAAAAAAATGTTCACTGTGGTAAACGAAATAATTATTTGATCTAAGTAAGAATTCTTTTTCTTCCCGATTTGTAAAAAAAATCCTTACGTGATAAAAAAAATGAATATTATTTTCAAAATGTGCGTAGCTCAATTATGGAAAATCTGTTATTAAAGCCCCCCAGTGGCACAGCGGTATGTCTGC